TCACAAGAACTCCTGGAGTTCCACTTTATTACTGTCACATACAATATAATGACATCCTGAAAGTTTGAAAGAATCAAGGCAGGTTTTTCTTGAATTTCTTTCTCATTCTCTCTCCTTTCCGAGAGCTAAATTGAGTTAGGTTTACACAACTGTTCTTGCCTTCCTCCTTCAAGGTTACTGCCATGTTCCTCCCTAACTGCAGACCAGTTTGCTGCTTTTCTTTTGTCCTTTATGTTATGAGATTATTATGAGATTCTTTATGTTATTGTGTGCTTCTCCATTGCCAAAACTTTAATGAAAATTTCGGCAGAATTAGAACACTTTCCCAGTTTAGTGACACTTTGATTGATGTTATTAACACATTTCGGCTTGGGTTTCCTCTTCCTGGAATGGAGCAAAGGGCGGGACCAGATTGCAGCCAGTGGTTAAAGCTGTACCTCTTTGGTGCCTTGTCAGGAAGCAAATGAGGCAGGAGGGAGGAGAACAGGAAGAGGGAAGCCAGGTGCTTTAGGCCAAGAAACTGGGCCATGTCTTCTGCTGGTTGGGAAAGAACACAAGGGCCACCTCTCCGGGCCTTGGGAACCATGGCTTCCAGCTTGGCATTCTGGTCAGAGGTGCAGGAGAGCAGCCGACCCAAAATGCTTTGGATGCTGCGCTCAGGAAGATTCCTGAATTTTGCTTGCAGAGGGCAGAAGACCTGTTTCCTAGATTAAGCTCAGCAAGAGACTCTCTGCCCAGCTTGCTGAGCACTGTGGTGCCAGCCCTGGAATGCCAGCTGATGGGCGTGGTTTAAGATGTGTCTCTGCAGCTAGAGACCTCTTCTGGCGCAGGTCCATTGCAGATGCTGGTCCTGTCGGGGGAGAGGTTACCGCTCAGGACCCAGGCAGCTTCTGCCAAGGAGACCTGAGGGCTCTGCTCTGCAATAGGTGGTCACGCAGAGGCACAGCCTTGCTCCCACAATTTCACAAAGGATTTTCTTTCATGGGCAAGAAAAGAAGCGGGGAGGGTAAGAGACGTGCTGTTGTGCTTCAGGGACTTGTCATCCCTAATTTGGAGGGGAGGCTGTAACTGATCTCCTTCCTCCCCTCCTCTCTGCAGCCTGCAGGATTTGTGCTCGAGTGACCTTCCTACCTGTCCTCTGCACCCAGCACCACGTTCTCCTGGCCTCTTAGAAGCAGAAAATCTGAGCTATTTCATTCCTGTCCGTGGTGAGGTGGGAATTAAGGCTTTACAGCTGCAGTGCATCCATCAACCACCTTGATTTTGGAATTGTCTCATTTTTCAAGTTTGCACAACGTGTGCAATGATAAGCTAAGAAAATGGCTGGGTTCACAGAACATGCTAAGCCACGTGAGTGAAGATTAATGCTAACCAGGCTGAGCTTGGTGTGAGAATGTAGGTGCTAGGCTAGTTAAGCCTTCTGTCTGAACCCAGCCTGGAGCATCTGGCTGAATTGCCTTTATCTGTGCTGTGGGGAAAAGTGGGGCAGGGGGTTCCTCTGCCTGCATGCTTCAAACATGCCCCTTCTAATTCCCCAGGCTCAGCTTAGTCCCGAGGCTTGCAGAAAAAAGCCAAGCCACGAGCCAAGCAGAATTTTGAGAGCCTCTCTGGCTCTTCCTATCAGTTAGGAAGAGAGAGTGTTGAGTTCTCAGGGGACGGAGCTTGCTGGCAGAAAGCTAGCATCTCAAGGGAAGAATTCCACTCTTGACGCTCACATACACACCTATGACTCACCAATGAAGGCAAACCCACGTGTCCCAGGATAATGTTGAGGATCCCATCTGGGTCGGTCACCAGGACCAGAGGTTCAGTCTTCTGAGCTTTTGGACTCGTGCTGGAGCCCATCCTCAGGGAAATTCTCTCTGGCAGAGCTCAGAAGACTAAACCTCCACTCCCTGTGACCGACCCAGACTGGATCCTGCAACATGTATGACTGTTCATCTCAGCCCTTTCTGGTTGTGTGAAATGTGCAGTTCAGACATAGTTTACAAGCCCTGGAAGCCTGGATGTGGTCTCACCCTCCACAGGAGGAGAGAGTGAAAGAATACAAGGTCAATAGAATTAATCCACGAAGATGCTGGGGAGAATAATTGGCCTGTCGGGCAGGGGGCTCAGCTGAGCCTCTCTATGCAGAGATGATGTGGCTGGGAGCACGTGGAGCCCTTCAAACCCCAAAGCACTTTGTGTGTGTGTGTGTGTGTGTGTGTGTGCTTTTGCTTCTCATCGACAATGGATGTGTTAACTTGGAGGCTTTTGGAAGCACAGGTATTGCAGCCACTTTCCATCATCCAGTCAGCTCATTTTGGGGATGTAGCTCAGGAGCCATAGCCGTTTTCCACCACTGGGCAATTTTAGCTCGACTTTACCGTTATGTCATGGATGGACATTTTTCCTTCCAACCGCAGGTAGAAAAACAAAAGGCACAAATTTTGGCTGGAGCAAAGCTGGTTTGATAGTGGAGGTGCTTGTCAAAGGGATCTGGATGCCCTTGTTGCCCCTGAGTTAAATGTGAGCCAGCCGGGCGCTATAGCTTCCTTGGGGAGCAGGTCCCGGGAGGTGCTTGTTCCCCTCTTGTCCTGGTCAGGGGTCAGATGGAGCACCCTGCCCAGTTCCAGGGGGATAGAGACAAACGGGAGGAGATCTGAGGAAGCTCCCGGGATGGTGAAGTTTAGCTTCCAGAGTAGAGGAGCGGGAGGCGCTTCTGACCACAGGAGCTGTGAGCCATTGGCAAAGTCAGCTGTGCGATGGGTGGGATTCTCTTTGCTGGAGTCTTCAGAGACGCTGATGCTGCAGCAATAGCTGATCAGCTGCTCGAGCAAATCCTGCACAGAGCAGAAGGCTGGACTACATGGCCTCTAAATTACCTGCTAGGTCTTTGATCTCATACCGCTTGGAAATCGGGACCTCCTTTGCTATCTCCAGCAAAGAGCATCTGTAGCGGATGCAGAGAAAGGACGTAACCTGTATTGCTCCTGATTTTTGATGTAATCCAATTAGAGTTGCCATTTAGGGCTGGAAATTTCTTTAGCAGAAGCCCTCTACTCTGCTTTCCCAAATTGGTTTGGGATACTTTTCATTTTATTTAAATTGTAAGTCCTGCCTAATTGATTAAAACCTAATTGTCTGCCTGGTTTACAACATCTAAATCAAAATGTTATTGTAGCAGTTAAAGCACGGAAGACTCAGAGCAGCTGTCACAAGTAGCCTGAACAGCGAAGGAGGAGCAGCAGCCAGGAAGGCAGCCCAGCTGCACTTGGCTCTGTACCCACTGAGCCCCTCCCTCCCTCCCCTGGGGACCCTGGGTGAGGCCCTGGCCTAAGGACCAGAGACCCGGTCTCAGTAGTTCTCTGAACTCCCCACACATCCCGCCTCTTCCAAGCCAGCCGGGCCTTCCAGAAGAGTCCGAGCTTTGGACGTCTCTTCCACAAAGCCTTGACCAATTTCAGCCACTGACTGCTTCCTTGGATGGCATCGTCCCATCCAGGTCATGGCGGTAGGCAGGGGCCTCTTTTCCTCCCTCCTTTGGCCTTTCTCCCCAAGTGATCCAAGTCCAGGCAACTATTTCTGGCTGTCCGGAGTGGGTCTCATGGCTGCCATCCTTCCAAACACACCACGTCTGCGGCCCTCTTAAGCAGCAAAGTGCAGATGCAGCTCAATGAAGTATAGAGGAACAGCTGGCGAAGTACCAAAAAGCAGAAGGCAGGAAGCTTTTGCGTGTGTGTGTGTGAAGCCCCAGGGCTTTCTTAAAACTTCACCCTGTGCCAAAGCTGGTTTCCATTTGTGGCATTGCAGGCAGGTGAGATAGCAATAGCAATAGCCCTTAGACTTATATGCCGCTTAACAATGCTTTTACAGTCCTCTCTAAGCGGTTTACACAGTCAGCCTATTTGCCCCCGACAATCTGGCTCCTCATTTTACCCACCTCGTAAGGGTGGAAGGCTGAGTCAATCTTGAGCCTGGTGAGATTTGATCTGCCAAATAGAGATGCCAGCCCTGGGCCAGGCAAAGCAGCTCCAGAGGTTGAGACTGACTGAGATGCCCTCAGACGTTGGTAGGAATAGGGTCCCTGCAGTGCCGGACATCAACCGCATCTGAGCCTGGCCATGGGTGTCATTGGTGGTGTATACACAAAGATATGCTCACACCCACAAGGTCAGATGTGTTTTCTTTTTCTCGGCCACTGCTGATCATCCTTCTCTGAGGCTTATTCCAGGAAAAAGCCAGCTGACCTCTGACCTTGCAGGTAGTGCCTTAGATGCTAGGGAGGGGGAGAGCTGGAGGATGCCAGAGCCCCCCCCCCCAGTCCCTTTAGAGGGTGAGCTGGCAACCTTGTGTCCAGCACTGCTGCAGAGCCCAACCTACAAGACTGGCACCAGCCTCTGCGCTCTGCCCTTTGGCTACCAAAGAAGAGCAGAAGGCCCTGATCCCCCAGGTAAAGCTATCGTGGATCTTGCTGGGGTGCTACAGTTGTTTGCAAAGCGATGTGCAGGAGGAGCTCTGCGGACTGTCCTCCTTTAGGGTTGGTCCACTCAGCGAAAGCTGCTCTGGCTTCATGGAAACCCTGCGTGTGCCAGGCTGCTCCCCTTCAGGTGTGAATTGGCTGTTCCCTGCCGCTGGCACCATTGGCAATCTAACCAGGGAAGAAGCTGTAGGGCTAGGTGGGGCTTCTTCCTTTGGGGCCTGGACACTTGGCCCCCTTTTCTGAAAAGCTGTTTTAAAAAAATGGTCGATACAGAAAAAGAAAGTAAAACAGAAACAGAACGCCAAAGAAAAAGAAAGAAAACATTAGTGAAAGTCGGGATGCACATCCGGAGGACAGAATCAAAGTTTAAGGCAAAGAGCGCAATTTTCCCTCTGCTGCAGCCCCACAGCCCAAATTCAGGGAGGGAGGGGAAAGAGGGGCTCCAGTCTCTGCTGTTGGATGGGTCTGCCTCTTCCCAGGTGCAGGAAGTCCATGGTGATTCCTGGACAGGTCTTGACCTCTGCCCCCTCTCTTCCAGGTCTTCCGGAGTGGCGAGGGGATGGGCATCCGCCTGGACAGCGCCTCTGCCTTCCAGGGAGCTATCATCTCCCCCCACTACGACTCGCTCCTGGTGAAAGTCATCGCCCATGGCAAAGACCACCCCACAGCAGCCTCCAAGATGAGCCGGGCTCTGGCCGAGTTCCGCATCCGGGGGGTCAAGGTAGGACGGGGGCCGTTTGGGGCTGCAGGCTGTCCTTTGCCTCATTGGGGTGGGTGGGTGGGTGGGGCTCGGAGGGCCTCTGCTGTTGAGGGCAGTGGGGCCAAGTCCTGCCTTTGGCCTCAGTGTAACTATCAGAGCCGTTACCGGTCCCTTGAGTGGCCCCTGTGAGGCTAAAGTGGCACAAGGTGCAGGAGGGAATCCTGTCAAACTGTGAAGCCATATTTTGGGCACCTGGTGGGGCAGAGCCTGCTTGGGGAACGCTGCCGTTGCCTTTTATTAAGCCAGGTATGGATTTCCTTTTATTCTCTGCTCTTTATCTGCTGAAATTGCACCTCCCCCACTTTCAGCAAACAACAACTAGATGCTCCATGTAGAGAGAAGCAGCATTGAAAGGCCTCTGGGGACTTTGGCTGCAGTGGAACCAGCTTCAGTGGGGGGATCCAACTCTGGCTAGCAGGCTGGTCCTCCCTGGAGTGGGTTTCCCTCCCTGTGTCGGGAGCTGCTGCGGGGGGGGGGGGGGGGAGGAAACTTTGCCGGCTCCTCTGGGCAGAGTGAGGATCTGGCCTACGTCCCTCCCTGCCCTCCCTCCCTCCCTCCCTATCGAGGGGTGGGGTGAAGATGGATGGGGGGAGGTTATTGGCAAATCCAATGACTGAGCAGGGCATGCTGGGCAGGGAGTGAGGGAAGGCCAGGGGGAGCCTCGGAAGGGAATTCAGGGCTGGGAGGGGGCAGAGAGTGGCCTGCAGATGCCCCGCACTTTGAGTGGGGTGTGGAGGGGGCTCCCAAAGAGGGCACAGCTGGCTGAGTGAGTGTGTAGGGGGCCGCTTCTTAGAGGGAGAGGGAGATTGTGCTTTTCTTTCGTTATTGCCTTGATTTGTACAGCTCTTGCTCAGCTCACGTCTCAGGGCAGCATCAGCAATGAAATCCATATAAAAATCACATGGTAAACAAATAATGAAAACAAAGCAGACCAGCCTGAGGGGAGAGTACAGTGCTGGGGGAGCTGTTTCAAAGGGTGGGGGGGACACGGCCTGGATCTTGCTAGGCAACATAGTAACGGGACCCGAGTGTGCGGACCCTTTCGGACCTTATCAAAGGGGCGAAATAAAGGAGACAGGCCTGGCCCCCGTTATATACAGGCAATCCTCGCTGACTGACTGCCTTGTGTAGTGGCCATTTGAAGTTACGATGGTGCAAAAAACTAACTTTGCAATCTGTTCTTTCCTTTGCGACCAGCATCTCAGTCACGTGGGTCGCCGTTTGTGTACGTCGCAATTGGCTTGTGACAAATAGAATTAAAACTGTACAGTATGGAAAGCTGAAGCAAGATTGTAAATTGCAGTTGTGTGATTTTTCAGTTAGTGACTTCTTTACTTAAGAACCAGAGGAGTTGCAAAGTTGTAAGCCCAGTTGTATTCATAATTTTCTGCTTAACCAGTTGCTGGTCCAATTGTGGTCGCTAAGTGAGGACTACCTGTGTTTACTGATTAGAGTTCTGTTCACAACCATTGGGTGGATGGGGCTGTTGGATCAGTGCTGCGGCCCTTGGAGCAGCGTGGCAGGAAGAAAGAGAGGCGGGGGGCAGAAGGGGGACGGGTGCCCTGCCCATCCAGAGGTCTTTGCCAGGGCTGCCTCTCTCTCTGGAAGGGCATGGGTCAGGATCACGCCCTTGTCTGTGCCAAAAGGGCCTTGGGCAGCTGGCTGTGAGTTTGGGGCTCGCTCTTTTATCTTGCCCCCCCTCCCCCCGCAGATGCCCCATTTCAACAGCCCAGCCAGGCTCAGCTCAGGGCCACCTGCCATGTTGCCCCTGGCTGCCTCTGCAGGCTGACCCCCTCCCCCAAGCCGGAGGGGCCCTGAGCTGCCAAACGCATCCGGACTCTGGTCATCCTGCCAGGAAGAGAGGCAAGGCCCCGGGGTCAGCCAGGGAGGCTCCTTCCCCGCCTGTCTGGGGGTGTCCTGGATGCTTCAGCCTTCTGCAGTGGCAGGAATTGAGGAGGCCGTCAAAGGAATGGCTGACCTTTGCAGCTGCTCACCTGGTCTTGTTGCCTAGTGGAATAAATGTGGATGAGTCTCTCCAGCCTCCTCCTCCTCCTCCTCCTCAGCTCCCACCCTGCTCATCCAGCTCTCTGCCTTCAGATGTTCTCATCCCACGAGAACAGGGAGAAATCAGACCTAGCAGATCATAGCATTCATACAAGCAGCTCCCTCTGTGCCCACCTATTCTGCAGGTTCAAACAGCAGCAATTCTCCTGCTTTTCCCACCTCTGGCTTCGTTTGCTTCCAGGAACAAAGAAACCAGGATAGCGCAATGGCCTTTTTGCAGGCCTGGAGTGGAAACAGAGTTTATCCGGATGATCTGTAAAATGGCTCCTTTCTCCACTGTTTCCTCTGCCTCTCGTAAGCTAGTTAGGCTAGAATTGGATCTTTTTGGGTAAAGCTGTTGTGACGGAGGCAGAAAGAAGAGACTGAGCTGCGGTCTTGGTTTCTTCTCTAACGGAAGGAAACTCTGTACAAAATGTAATGAAGACACAAGCATGTCTTTTTCAAAAGGGCAGGCAAAGGATATGTAGGAGAAGGGTAACATTGCCACCGAGTGTTGCCATGCCCATTTTGTACCCCCAAAAAAGAGTCTTGCCTGGAAGAATGGCAGGTCAGTTGTCATTACTTGGAATCTCACATCAGCTCACATCCTTGGCTGACAAGGCAGGCTGTAACACCTGGTCTTTTAATACTGAAAAAATGTATCTCCTAGAAATGGGGAGGTTCTTCTTGGTTATTTAGCCCCCTTCCCTGTTTCTTGTAGAACAGTCCACAGGTATCATATCCCCAAGGAGTTTCTGTTCAGTCTCTGGCTAAACCTCAGCAGCAAAGGGCCTTAAGAAGTTTCTCCAAGCTGAAATCTATCCAACCAAGGAGCACATTTGGCTTTCTCTGAGGTCATGTCTCATGCATGTAAGAAAGCTGTAATATCTGTCCCGTCCTGCTATCCCCCATATTCTCCCAAATGCACTTACTGGTCTCAGAAACCCAGAGTCTGTATGTTGCTATGTATCTTATAAACTTGAAATTGTAGGAAGCATTCCCTGGACTGTGTCATGCTTGCACTGTTTCTGGTTAGCATGTAGAGTGAACACAGTTTATTTGGTTAGTTATGACTCCATAGAATTATAAAATCGGCCAGTGCTACTTAATTTTAGCATGTCCAAATCCTACTTATTGCAGGAATTGAGACAACTTTCCTTTGAAATGAACCTTGTGTCAACCCACTCAGCGTCTCACTCCAGTTTAATGAAAAATCATTGCTGAGCAGTCTTGAGTTCAGTCTTCAATCAACTAGGTATCTACTTAATTGTGTCAACAGTGCCCAATTATCAAACTGTTTGATTATCATGGGATACTTTGTCAAGTGCTTTAATAAACTCAAAATAAATTATGTCTATGACATTCCCCTCTCTACTAAGGAAGTAGACATAATTTATCTTGATTTCATTAAAGCACTTGACAAAGTATCTTCCTTAGTAGCATACTAAGTTATACAGTCAGTGTTAAGGATATTGGTGTTGTGTTACCAACCAGCAGAGTAAATGCACAAGGAAACGTTGCTGAGAGCAATGAGTAAGAGATATGCAAACTGGTTTATCAAAAGCTTACTTTATAGTAGAAAAACAGTCTCATAATCTTTAAACAAATTCCAAGTCTTTGCCAGTTAAATCAGTCCAGTAGTTACAGAATCTTCTTACCCAACAAACAGTAGTTGGTTAGAATAACAAACTCACTCTGGTTCACAAACCACGATGGTAGCAGATAGCAACTCCTCACTATGGCAGCAAAGCATACTCTGGTAGCATATCACATCAGCTTCATACACAATGGCAGCATATCATAGCAGCAACTGAACACGTTACAATACCTTGCTTAAATACTCTCACAACCAGTGATTACCTAATTACAGCATGACTCAGCATTACAATGAAAGCCTTCAAAGTAACATAATACATTTTCAGATTAAAGTCACAGAACACATATATTGCCTGGACAACTTGTTAGGCTCAAACCATATCCTAACAGTCAGGAAATGAAATAAGCCTGGTTTGATAAGCCACCTTCTTGACAAATCCATGCTGACTGCTAATAATTACTGCATTTCTTTCAAGATGCTTTCAGATAGTTGTCTTCATGATCTGTTAATATTCCCAAGAACTGATGTCCGACTAATTTTGTGTCTCCTTTCCCCCTGCTTGAAGATGGGTATTTTCTTTCGTTCACCTCTTAGTTGTTCTCTAGTATTCCTCAGAGACAACAGTTCTTCCAGGTCGGACTTCGGCACATAATTCATCCATGATTCAAGGTATTTTTTTAGTCTGGTTCCTCCTCCCAAAGTGTTTGTTAGCAGTTAGAACTTTGCTGTCTTCAGGAAAAGGGTTCCTCTTTCTCTTCCTTTTCTTTTAAATATATCTGAAGAAACTTTCTCCCATATTTGTTCTCAGGTCTTCACCAAGCTTTCCATGTTTCGCACTGGGTTCCTTTGCCATCTTCTTCTAGGAAAAGCTCAAGACCAAACTGGGGAAGAGAGCTCTTCCTGCTCCCTGAGCTCTTCCCCTACACCTTCCATTTCCACCCAGAGCATTTTTTGCTTCAGTCATGAATTTATTTTATTCAGTGGCCAAAGTAAAAAACCAAACAGCAACCCGAAATGTAATAATTAACAATGAGGCAAGTAGCCTGGCAAATGAATGGGCATGTTTTATTCATTACTGCTTCATTATTCATTATTGAATAAAACATTTTGGTAATTCCTTTTCTAGTCATTCAAAACAAACAATAAAGGAAGAAATATGTGTAATAGTTCATAACCTCCTCCCGAGTTCAAGGCAAAATTTACTGCTGGCAGATTTAAATGAAAAATGTGTGTTGCTGTGCAGTTCCCAAGGCAAGTGGAGAAAGGGATCCAGTGCTCTTTGTGTTGTCAGAGGCTTCCTTGTGGAAGGGACAACCCCACA